ATTTAAATCATTAGAGAAGATAAATATTTAATTTTTTTTTATTCAATTTAAATCTCTCGTAAGGTTTAAATCCTAGGTGACGCGATGAAAATTCGTGATAGATAAGATGGCATATGCTCTCCAAAGCAAACAGTACACACGATATAACAATTTGGGTACACCTATCATTTTATTACAAAAAAACACATTTCCGAGCCTGTATGCCTATGCTTGGATCGTTATAAAATGTATGATTGGAAAGATTAAAATTGTAAGCTATAATAAATGTGTTTTTAAAATTGAAATTTGATCAGTTGAAAAGTTGATATTATATCAAACAAGCTGCTAATAAATATGCCTTCGCAAATTTCATGCTAACATCCAGGAGATGACTACAGTTGGAACCAAAGGAGATAACCAAAGTGTTGAAATCACTCAAATTGATACAAAATTTGAAAAGCAAAAAGAAGTTTTTGAGATCTAAAAGTTGATTTTGAACTCGTTTGACTAATTTTATGAAAGTATTACTTCTAATTAGAAGAGTTTTTAGAGGAAGTTAGTCCAATATGACTTTCTCTAAAAATACTTTCGAAATAAGATGCTCTTTTATAAATAAGTTTTCAAACAAAATTTAAGGCAATTTCCTCCAAAAACTCTTCTATATGAAGTAAAAGTCATGCTAAATGGACCCTTAATATTGTATTAAAACCCATAAAGCTCCATCAAGCCTTGCTTTAAAGTAAGTGTGCTCATAAGAATGCTATTCCTAGTCGTGACTAACGAATTTCGAGGTATTTGCTGTTCAAAATTTAGAGATTTCGAATTGCTTTAAGGCCTTAAGATTTTCACTGGGTTGTGTAAGGATGTTCTCGAGTATATTGTACCTATGCTGTGGACATTAGTTATACTGTACCTCTTTTCCATGCCAGGGATTTCTCTAAGGGTGCGTTTGATTGTAAGGGTGGAAAATGGGTGGAAAGAAAATGTTTTTCAGGGAAAAGATTTGCCTGGAAAATGTTTTGCAGGGAAAATGATTTTAAGTGTGTTTGATTGGTATAATTTTCCAGCTGGAAAATTTTTAAATTTTCTATTCGTTTGGCTTTATTTTACATGAAAATTGTCCATTAAAGTGATATTTTTTTCCACAATTGGTTATAAAATTTGTTACCATTGCCACAAAGTAAAAAAAAAA